TAAACCCGCGGCTTGAAACGACGCAAAGTGGTGCCAAAACGCTCAATGAAGGTGGCCCTGCTGAAGCCCTCCTCCTTGGCTGCAGCATGGATGGAGTCGATGGTGGTGTCGTCCACGTCATCAATATCAATATCATCGGGGACGCTGATGGACTCCCCACTGCGACGATTGCCTGCGCCACTGTCACCACCGCCAGCACCAGATGGACCGCCACTGCCACTGCCATGGATGTGCCCGAGAGGCGGCGGGCGATGGCTTGGGCACCTCCTTCACCCTAACGCTCTCGCCAAGGGCCTCGGGGAACAGCTTGAAAACCTCGGACGCCATGAAAGCCTTGAGCGCCTCCTTCTGAGGATGTCTGTCAAAGACGCTGGGATCCACATCAAAGTTCCCGTAGGAGCCAAAGGCAATGTGGATAACAGCTCACGATTTAGCATAACTGTATCCTCATCCGTCGCTTTGATCTGCGCTCGCGAGAGGTCGATAGTCTCCTCCGACGCACGCGCGATCTCCAACTGCTCAAACACGGTCTGCTCGAGTTTGGCCTTCTTGGCCGTCGCACGAGTGAGCCGATGTCCAACGTTCGTGTGCTGAGTAAGTTAGGTTTTTGTCGCAGCCAACAATTTCTTAACGTTGGCCAACTGCTCCTCCAAGGACTCACACGCTTCTTCCCCTACATCACCTGGCAATGATTTGCACGAGACCAGCGAAGCCTCGGGCTGCTAGATCTGCTCTTTTGACAGCTCCTTCTGGTCGGGCGCCGTGGTAGACGTAGGTGTTGGAGAGCCATTCGCACCGCCATTCGCCACCATAGCATCGAACCTCTTCTGCAACGCGTCAAGCTTCTGCTGGATAGGATCGCGGCCGCCGGGCACACGCTTCTCACGCTGTGGACGATCGCGCACAGCAGAAGCAGCATGGTCACGAGCACGGCGAGCGACATCAGTTGGTGCTGCCTCGCCGCACTTGCACAGTATCCTGGAAGCCCAGTTAGTATTCTTCCCACACAGGCTGCACGCCCGGGTGCGTGTGCGGGGGCCCGCCAAAACTTCTCCAGCACCGCCTC